TGAATGGTGGACCGTTGCGGGGGGGAGGAGGAGGAGACAAAGGGAGAAGAAAGTAAGGGAAGACAAAAACAGACAGCGAAAGAAAAAGCGACTGATGGTGAGAAAGGAAGATGATTGGAGAGGATCAAAAGCACTCAAGCCACTACTAGTGTGTGTGTGTGTTTGTGTGTGTGTGTGTGTGAGTGTGAGACACTCCAGTGACCTGCTCTGTCCAGACTCCAGAGGCCTGGTCGGGGGTCCAGAGGATCATGGTCTTGTCCATGGAGGCTGAGAGCAAACTGAGATTCTCCTGCCGTTCGCCGCCTGAAGGGGGCGACAGAAACACCCTTAACTTCAAATTTGGATGGAGGAGAGTCCCACCAAGAAGAGCGAACATCCACAAGCAATTCACTATAGATACCACAAGATGGCGGCACTGCACTTTTTTTTTTTTTAGATGAGCCAAAGACCCGACTAAATGGAGCTCCTCCCCTCACGTCAACATTGTTCCTTCACAATTTCATACCCTTGTAAGAAGGAGGCTGCCAGTGTAGACCGTACACCCAGTTCTCATGTCCTGCCAGGACCGTTTCCAAGGCCACTGCAAACACTGAAGAAGCAAAATCCACAAATTCTAAACAAGCACAAGACAACCAGCAGCTAGTGGATTAGTATCAAGCATCGCTTTGCCTCGTTCCTCATCTTGCTCCTCCACTCCGAAAACGTCCTCTTTCATTTTGATGACGCCGTCGTCCCGGTCGCCCTCGGAGTGGGCGCCGTGCCCGGACTTGGCGCGGAGCCGCCACACTCGGATGAGACAGTCCTGCGAGCAGCTAGCCAGCAGCAGCTCGCCACCTGCGCAAACACACGCGCGCGCAGACACATTAAAGTCAAGATGATAGGGCGGAAGTAGGACTCGTCTTATTGACTCACAGTTCAAAAAGAACAGGTACATATTTGAGATATTGATTTTTTTTTTTTAGTTAATTAAATATTTTTTCGACAACACATAACAGAAAAAAAAGTGTACAGCCCTGAATTGTTACAAGTCAGTGATTTGGCTATTTTCCATTTCTACTGCAGCTGGTCAAAACTCACCTACGGAGGTCCAGGCGACAGCGCGCACCCAGTCCTCGTGTCCCTGCAGGGTCATGACTCTCCGCAGCTTCTGCGGAGCAGCTTTTTGACATCAAACTTGACTCCCCCCTTGGGATTTCGACGAAAAAGCAAGTGTGAGCTCACCTTCTCCTGGGACTGCACGAACAGGTGGACCCGAGAGTCGTCGCCCCCGCAGGCCAGAACGGGAACTAGAGATGGTGAGACAGATGCGGCGTATGTATGACAAGTAGGGAAAATAATGAGCACAACTTGTCCACGGTGTACCTTTGGTGCTTGGCAGCAGGGCCAGGGAGACATCCATCACGAACCCGCTGCCAAATGTTAGCGAGTGGAGGCACACGGCTGGAGAAAACAAAAATAACATGGGGGGTGGGGGGAGGCGGATATTTGGATATTCTGGATGTCAGATTTTTCTGAATCACGTAAAATAAAACGCATACCCTCATTGGCATCTCCGCAGAGCCACAGCCTGACGCTGGAGTCCGCCGCCGCAGAGGCCACCAGGATACTGGCCCCAGCGTAGAGGGCGTCCACGGCACAAACGGCACCCGTGTGGCCTTTACACTGCACCGACTGGACAAACTGCAGAGAAAAGAGTCTTAAAAAAAGAGGGGCGGGGGAAAACACGACCCTGATTCTTGGCAACTTGGTTTACCTTGCCGTTGTGAGCAGCCCAGAGGAGGAGGCGGCTGTCCGTGCCCCCTGAGACCAGGTGGGTCTCAGGAGCTGAGGTATGAGAAACGGAAACAAAGACATAGCTTAGATTAAAAGGGACAAATACACAGGGGATATATTAATAAAAATATAAATGTTTCCACCATTAACGGAGCCGACACTCTGTGTAACTCAAGTGGGAATTTGTTTTTCTTTTTTTAGGGGAAAGTAAAAATAAGCAGCTGAAATAATGTGGTTGAAAGAGTACAAAGAGTGTGTGTAACGCAAGTACCACACCACACCTGTTGTAAAGTGTACACTCTTGCTGTCTGAAAATATCTTTGCCTCATACGTGTTTCAGTCACTTGGTCATGTGACCACAGAGCTTCAATCAGATTCGCATATATGCTCCTCCGCGTAAATCATGCATATTAGCTCTTTAACGACCCCTGCTGCTCAGTGAGCAGTATTGCAGGTTGAATTTGAGGCGCGAGTTTTTCTTTTTTTTTTTAATCTTTATCGAACAAATCAAGTCACAATTCACAGTAAACAGAACCAACAAGTTGTTAATACATGCGCAGATTACATAGAGTTAAAAGAGACGCCAGTTTCCAAACGTTTTAAACTTTTAGCCACGTCATCAGCGAATGAGGGCGCTCGTGATAACTGGTCACGTGATCTCCGCTCGACGCACACCGCGCCGAACGCGCCTTTGGCTCCTCAGTCACGTGACGTTTTCCGCTCGACACGCACCTCCCCAAACAAGGACGTCAGTTCTCCTGCTCACGTGACAAACGTCACGGACACACACGCCTGGAAACTAGACCTAATTTTCCACGCCCACTTTCGCTCGACACACGTTTTAAAAGCCCCGCGTCATTTTGCCCATCACGACTGATTAGTTGGACGCCTGCTTGTTAACTTTGTGTAGCCGACTGCCATTGCCAGACCACGTCGATGCAGTTTGTGAGTCAAGACTTAGCATTTAGCATTAGCTACTCAAATGTTTTTACAATGGGTCCGCTTGCATGATATTTCTCAGTTGGTCGTACAAAATGAACCAATAAAGCTTTTCATGGTGCCGAATGTTGACTGTTACCTTGAGTTATTTTATGCATTACGATGAGTGATTTTTTTTTTTAATATTACGAGCATCAATCGCACTTTCACCAGAAAAACTGCTACTTTTTGACATTTGAACGGTGTTGAATGATTGCATTCGCCGTAGTTATTGTATGTGTTTAATTATATGCACCTTATTTATTAGGTTAGTTGCAAAATGCACCGTTCTCATTCATCAAATGTAATGCGGCTATTGACAATTTTGCACAACTTAAGCACTTTCATAGAGCACATTATGACCTTCTGATAAATGAGCTGACCTAACAGAATTACATTGTACAATACTGATGAATGATAAATTATTTTTGACTGTATTGCAATTAGTGTTATTTAGTTGGAAATGAATTTTGCTTTATGTCCACATTTTTCTTAAACTGGTCCTGTTTTGTACAGGCTGGGCTTTTATTTGATGATGGCGAGGAAAGGAAAGGCTTGTAGCCCAAGAAGCGTCAACTCATTTCAAGCCACTGGAGAATCTTGCCAGGAAGCCCACAACCTGCTTTAACCGTGTTGGTAGGAGGCTCTCGTAGCTGGCCCTCGCACACTCGCGCTGTAGTCATGAACTGTCCTTCCACTGGGTGCGACTGAATTGAACTGTGTTGAACAATTTTGGGGAAAAGGGACTCTGCGTTTCAAACTTATGACATTATTTATTAGATTGATGTCTGTATTTGAAGAAAAAAAAATTATGTATGGTGATTGAGAACGTTATTTTGACTCAACGGCCATTGACCTTTCACCAGCTACAACATTGTATGTTTTTGTCCACCAACTTTTCTTCAATTTAAACTTGCCACTACCAAACGCATCCTCTCCTTCCTCTCTTGCTGAGCCGACTCCTTGACTTCAGACATCTGGCCTACTATTATTTTTGTTTTCATGATATGCAGCAAATATTGGCGACATGTGCTGGTTTTTATTCAGTTGAAAGTGGGGGGCCTTAGTCAAGATGGAGTGAATTATAAATAGTTCCTCCTAGCAGTCAGTGTTCGGACTTCTGCTACAAAGTAAGAAAATGTCAGGAAAAGCTGACCAGAACACCTAAAGGTAATTCTGGGTTAATCAGAGACACTTTGAATGGTGGCATGTATGCACTCTCATTTAACATGAGTTGGAATGTGAGTGGCTCCTTCTGATTATAGATGCGTCCCCACTTATGAGCATGTGCAACCACAACGACTTGTCTTAATTTCTCCTCCTTTTATTCAATTGAGTTGTACAAGTTATTTGTAACATTGAGGGTGATAAAATTGATCAAATTAATCTTGGTCTCCCCCTAACATCCATTCACAAAAACCTGGCATTTAATCAGGTATGTAGACTTTTAAAAATATGTGTATAAATCTAAGTTATTGATTAAGATGTATACTGATTGATGGATGCTTGTCTCAAAACATTTAGAACTGTTACAAATTGTTTTTAAAAATGCGTAACGATATCTGTCTTGATGACAGCCATCAATAACAATGGGACATCGCCCCCTAAGTGGAAGAAAGCGGTATCACACCATAGCAAGTCGCTTCGGCGTGTTTAGTCATTCCGGTGTGTGCAAATACGGTTTTCCTGACGATCTGATCATGTGAATCAGGTGTGTTAGAGGAAAGTACGCAGGATGGCGGTCCTCGAGAACCGGAGTTGCCCACCCTTGGAGGAGTCAGCAGTCACACGTGAAGTCAATCGATAACCTGATATGTACATTTTTTTTGAACAAACTCACCACCGTCTTCTTTATGGACCCATTGAACTGCGTTTACTCTTGCTGTGTGGCCATTCAGCATCGACAAAACCCTCCTTTCCTATCACAGAAAGTCCCAAAGGTACCTTTTCAGCTCGAATATTGTAAGTTCGTTTTAGAAATTAGGGACAAGGATGACTTTACTCCCTACCTGGGGGTCGTACAGGGCTATTGAGTGACACGTTCCGAAGGCAATCGTCCCCCCGCGCCCCCAAGAAACGACGTTGGGTGTCCTGTTAGCTGAACAGGCTATATGGCATGTTTCGAGCCTGAGCGCCGCCATCTTGTTGAGCGGTGACGATGGGATGGCGGCACAGTTAAGGGCGGCCGTGTTGCAAAACGAGTTATGGACAAAAAAGGTTCCGCCCGTGGATTGGTTTACAAATTAGTAGCACCGAAAATTAATATGAATACAAAGTAAAACAATCTAATATACGAAAATACATACACACTAAAACCAAACTAACTGAAAATAAATACAAACGGCAAAAATTGTAATATATGAACAACAATCAGAAAAAGCTACAGAGAGTATTGCGTTCACTTGGACCCGCCCCCAAAAAAAAAAGTTTGTTTTTTTTTCTGGGTATTTGTAATAAATAGAAAAAATAGAATACACTAGCCTGGTTCTCAATGAAATCAGTAACGTGAAGTACACTTTCAAAAAATGGCCGCTAGGTGGTAAAATCCACTTTCAAAAGCACAAAATGTGTCTCCATTTAAAATGCAGTACTGCGTTTACTATATATCATGTGGGTTACAAGTTTCTTTAAATTCTTCCTAAACTTCAAAACATTACATTTGATGAATCTGTTTTAGTTTCGTCTAAGGGAAGAAAATGGAACACAGATTTCTTACTTTCCCAGTCATTCAAATCACAGTGACTCCATCCACAGACAAGCCACTTAAGTCCGTTTTGACACATTGCTGACACGACAGTCACTTTGTAAACCTCTTCCAATGTTGACTGTTGAGTAATTGGTCGCAGTGGAGCTACCGTGTTTGATAAATAGAAAGGCTTTTTTTTCGGTTATAATTCAAGTGTTGAGGTGACACTTTTGCCACTAATTGTCAGGCTGCGAGGGATGACAACATGACACAATGACAAAGTGGAGAGCGATTGCTGGCAAGTGGAGGGCGAAGGTCTTTGTCATTATTTTCAATGGAGCTTACTCAATATTGTCGGTCTACATATCGCTGCCATGTGGCGGTATCCTTGTACCTCCAAAATCATCACTTTTCAGCAGACCCAAAACAGCATGTTTTGTTCGAACATTAACATTGCATGGTCAAAAAGCACAGGCCATTTTCCACACGTGAGATTGGTCAATAAGTTGTAAAAATAATACCCTCACCTCCGGGCTGACAAATATCGATTTGTGAAAATGTTTCCAAATTCATAGGTTCCAGCCCGATGGCAGCGATTATGTTGCTGCTACTAGCTGTTAGCTATGTATGGAATTTCCCATTATGTGTTAGCATTAACTCAACTGGACAACTCGATTGATTTTTTTTTTTTTTTTTTTTTTAAATAAGGGTTCGGCTATGCTAGAGACGGCGCCCATCCATAAATATCATCTCCCCCTCATGGCTGGCGTTTGCTTTTTACTCAGCATCCATCTGGCTGCTAAACGCAATCATCAGTATGCTGTGACTGTTGTAACAGCGGAAACAGAGAGTTGTTTGAATTTTCTGCGTTTGGGTCTCGATAAGCCCATTTGTGCCTGAGGTGGCGACGACTTGGCAAGTAAATGACCCGCTGCTCATTAGTGTTTGACTCCTATCCAGTTTCCACTGCATGGGCATGTTATTTCTGATTATTATCATTTCCATTTGTTTTTCATGTTTTTAGTCACTAACCTGAGTTTGACCCCCTCACTCTGTCTAAAGTTCAGCTGCAGGTGCCTGTCAAAACCAAGTAAGCCTCAAAGTGGTTCTTTTTCTCGCTCTAGGTTACCCCGGAGCCTAGATATCAAACGCAAATATGCTAACATAAGAGATAATACAAGTGCCCTCAGGCCGGTGTTAATTAAACCAAGGCATCCAAAGGTGAGCGTTTCCATGGCAACCTGCCAGTTTTTTTGTTGTTTTTTTTTGTGGGCTACCCTGTTTTGTAAAAAAAAAAAAATCAAGACAGTGTTTTGGAGCATCAAAATGCTAACTATTGATAGGAATTGATTTTTTTTTTTTTTTACTAATTTCCATCATCAACCTTTCTGAAAATCCAGTACAAAGTTTTGGTCGGAATCTTTAATGACAATTCATAATTGATTTTTTCCAAATCTGATATTAGCACTGATTCCCCCAAACCATCACGGTGCACCACCGTGTAACGTAAAGCGAATAGCCAAACTATTTCCCCACTGTACACTGCAGCCTATTTGCTTTTCTTTTCTGCGTGCAGCTTTCCAAACTGATCGACCGCGAGCAGAACGGTCGCGGGGGAACCGGCACAAACAGAATGGTCAGCACAATGAGCTCCTTATCATCACAGTGATGCTCACACGAGGGAACCCGGTGGTGGGGGGGGGGGGGAATTAACACCAGAGAAAACACGTAGATATTATCTTGTTAGCGGCACGACACATGACATGCCCTGACGCACCGTTTGTGTGCGTGTGTGACATGCAAACATGGAGTGTACCTGAGGGCTTTGAAATAAATAGCGGCCGACTCGAACACAATGTTGCAGACGGATCACCCAAAAAAAAAAAAATATGCCAGAAAATGTCCCTCAGATACGATTGCAAGGCTGCCGACGAGTCACATGATGGCTCCTTTGGCTTTTTTTGGGGTAACGTTGATGCAATCGTGACTTTTTTTCACAAATTTTCTCCTCATTATTTTTCCACTTTTTAATACTGTTCTGGATAAATGACACTGAAAGAAAACATGGGAAAAAAATGCAGGAATTCTAAATGCTACAAAAAAATTTTGCCGCAGCAAGCTAGATTGATAAGAGTCTTGAGAGATACGGTAGCTAGCAAGCGAACTAGCGAACAAGATGGATTAACAACACATTTATTGATTGTGAATATTGGAAAATCTACCAACGTGATGCATCCGAAAGAACTTTAAATGTTTTTGAAATACATTTTTAACTGGTCAAATTGATTATTGAAAATATTTGTATTTTATTTTATTGACTGTGAATACCTGATTTGGAAAATGTACACTTTTAATGCACCTGTGTGTATGGGCGGCCCGGTGATTGAGTAGTTAGTGTGTCAACCTCACAGTGCAGAGGCCATGGGTTCGATCCCAGATCCAGCCTTCCTGTGTGGAGTTTGCATGTTCTCCTCGGGCTTGCGTGGGTTTTCTCCGGGTACTCCGGTTTCCTCCCACATTCCAAAAAGATGAACGGCAGGCTGATTAAACACTCCAAATTGTCCCTAGGTGTGAGTGTGAGCTGGTTGATCATCGGTGTGTGCCCTGTGATTGGGTGTCCCATGCCTACTGCCCGAATACAGCTGGGATAGGCTCCAGCACGACCCTTGTGAGGATGAAGCGAATCAGAAAATCGGTGTGTGTGTGTGTGTGTGTATATAAAATATACATACACAACAGTGATGTGAATATTGAAGAAAAAAACCCCCAAATTAAACTGCTCTAAAATGGTTTATAAACCATACGAAAATATCACCATTAATGAATAAATAAACAACCAAAAAAACTTTTTATTTTTGGTTGAGGGACGAATTGAGATGTATAATATGAACACTGTGCAACATTCTCAGTGTGGTCACGCTGCACAAGGCTGCACACATTCACTCCGAGCAGCCTGCTTGTGTGTGTGTGTGTGTGTGTGTGTGTGTGTGTGTGTGTGTGTGTGTGTGTGTGTGTGTGTGTGTGTGTATATGCGCGCGCGCGTGCTCGCTGGTGCATGTGCTTACCCACAGTCGTGTTGTGTGCTGCGGTCCGCACTCTGCCTCCGGTCGTCAACTTCCACGCACTTATTGGATTTTAGTCCGCAGTGGCCACAAACCAAGCGGCACCCGCGTGGGTCAACCGCGAATCCGACTCCCGTCACTCGCCGGCCCACCCCCACCCCCACCCCGGGGAGCTCCGCGGTGAAGTCGGCGGCGGCGGCGGCGTCGCGCTGCGAGTGAGGTCGACCGGGAGGCGCTGCTCGGCGGGCATGGCTTCGCCTCCGTGCGGCAACTTGGACTCCGGCCTAGAAATCAAAACTCGTTCGGTGGAGCAGACGCTAATCCCGCTGGTGTCTCAGGTGAAGTCCGCATGACCGACCGACCGACCCGCGGCAACTTTGTGTGTGTGTGTTTTTTTTGTGTGTGTGTGTTTTTGTGGTTGTGTTGTTCTTGTTACGCACGCGCACTTTTGTTGTGCCGTGTTGCTCCGGTGAGATCGCGAGTAGAACAGATGACTTTTTTTTTTTTTTTTCGGGCAAGTTTTTCCCCCCCACCTTGGTCTGTTGTTGGGCAGAACCTGCAAGATTACATAACGTGCATTTTACCAACAACTAGAGGGACGCACGCACGCGCGCGCACAAAAGCACCTTTCTTTGTTGCGTGTAAAGTTGCCGAAAAGTTTGCAAGCTTCCTAACGTGCACGTTAAATGGAAAGAGATCAACCCTCAGCATTCACCCGCGTTTCTGACTTATGACACGCGCGTGACTGATTAACTAATAGGCCCCACCCCTCCCCAAAACATGTTAATGCTTGACTCTCAGCATTCATGTGATAGTTTTTAACCACATGCTTTCACACGTTGTTTCTGGAAATAATCGCTCGGTCGTCACAGCATTCATCAGTAAAGTCCTTCCATACGGTCCAATAGCATGAATGCGAATGCTTGACTCTCAGCATTCATGCGATTATTTTGTTGTCATTGCTCCTCTTTCAGCACTCCCAAGCATCGTCCTTTGCACCCAATAGAATGAATGTGAATGCTTGACTCTCACCATCGCCGGAATAGTTTGGACATACTGTAGATGCAGGATTCGCACAAACGTGTTGCAATGTTGCGGTGTGAATGTGAACATGTGACACTCAGCATTTTGGGAGGAGGTGCACAGCAGTGTCAGAGCGCGATTGTTTGAATCTAAGCATTCACGCCATGTTTTGGTGGCAATCGCTTTGACTCAAGGGATGAACGGTATCGTTTGGAAAGAGAGAACGCTCGATTCTCAGCACTCATGAGCGAAGTTCTTCGCGCACGAAACTGGGAATGGCACTGCTTGGCTCAGCGTTCGGTGGTGCGATCGCTTCGCGCTTTGCATCCGCACGAAAGCGTTCCCATACAAACAGGAAATCGCATAATATCGACTGGCAAAAGTCGGGAGTGGAAAGCGCGAACTCATGGAGGTGAACTTTTACCTGTGACGCCGAGCATAAGCAGATTTATTCCTTGGAAGCCGATAGATTTTTAATCCTATTTCTCGCATTTCAAGATGCTTTGAGTTGCATTTGCATATTTGAAAAGACTGGAATTGAGTTTGATCATTCCTTGCGGCATTCATGATCTTCTTTGATTGTGCTTCAAGGATGTTCGAATGTTGTTTTTATAAAAAAAAAAAAATTCTTACTTTTCTTCCCCACCTGCCCATCGGCACGTTTCCGTGGCAACAGCATATTGAAAAGAAACCTTTTCCAAGGACTGCTTTTGATGACGTTATTCGGTCGAAAGGGATGGCGGGGGTTCAGACAGAGCTTTGTTCCAGATCACATGACTGCGTTGTGGCAAACGCCATCCAGTCACGGCTCGCTTCGGTCGGCCACGTGATCACCGGACTGAAAACCAAATTACAAATAGCACGAAGAAAACGGTTCTCTTCGAAAACAGGGGTGAGGAAATCTTTGATCAGGTTGATCCGTTACTGTAACAACTTACAACAGTACTGCTTGTGGTTACGGTTTCAAGTTACTGTTACTGTTACATGTTGTAGTTACAAGTTATTGTAGCGGGTGAGTGGACCAAGTTACTCTCTCAAGTTACCATTTCTAAGTTACTGTAACAGGTCATTGTAGCAGGTTACAGTGTCATGTTATTGCAGCATGTCACTGTAACAAGTTACTCTACCATGTTACCGTTTCACGTTACCGTTTCGAGTCACTGGAACAGGTTATTGTAGCGGTTTGCGGTAATGAATTACTCTAGTGAGTTACTGTTTCACATTTTCATGGCAAGATACCGTAACGGTTTATCGTAGCAGGTTACTGGAACGAGTTACGACAACAAAGTTGTCACCCACCTGGTTGAAGAAGAGAGCGGCTCCTGGGGCAGCAGTTTGCTCCACGGTCCTGGAAAAAAAAAATACGATCAAATTACTTTTAATAATGTTATAATTAATGTGTCATTTGTATGAAGACACTGAATTAGGTTCCAGATAAATATCGACACGCGACACTTTGTTTCTATCAATCTCCCAAAGTTCACATTTTCAAATGATCGCTTTGACAAGGTTGCCTGGAAATCGCAATGTCCCGTTATTGGTGAGCTATTCATACAACCGGCCCTTGAAGGCGCCACATCGGCGGCCCCCGCGAAACAAGTTTGTTTCAAGCTACATCGCAGGTTACGGTAATCGGTTACAAGTTACCGTAAGGCTAAGTTACTGTTTATGCAGTTGCTGTTACAAGTAACGTAACGAGTAACTGTAACAAGTTACAGTTACAAGTTACCGTTGTCATTTTCAACTTCTTGGAACACACTTGACTAGAAGGCGAACAAAGCGTAAGGGTGGACGACTTTTTTTTTTTCTGCTGTTGTGTCGTTTGATGTCTATCAGGCAGGAAATGAGAAAATCTGCCGTCTTGTCTGATGCGTTTTGCTCTCCCCCCCCCCACCTCCCGTCCATCACCG